TGCACTGCCTTTTTTCGTGCGTGCACTTAAAAAATAGCACCAGTTTCAGAAGATGAGTCATGACTACGAGGCGCGAACCTCTGTGCAACACTAGCTCATACGATTTAGTTGTGCTGCGATGTGCTGCGTTTTGTTGGTTCACTGCCATTTTTCGTGCGTGCACGTAAACAGTAGCACCCCTTTTGGAAGATGAGTCATGACTACGAGGCAAAAGCCTCTGTGCAACACTAGCTCATAAGATGTAGTTGTGCTGCGATGTGCTGCGTTTTGTTCGTGCACTGCCTTTTTTTCGTGCGTGCACGATGTGCGCGTAAAAAGTAGCACCACTTTCAAAAGATGAGTCATGACTACGAGGCGCAAACCTCTGGCAACACTCGCTCGTAAGATTTAGCTGTGCTGCGATGTGCTGCGTTCTGTTGGTGCACTACATTTATCCGTGGGTGCACTTAAAAAGTAGCACCACGTTTATAAGATGAGTGCATGAACTGAGCCTGTTACAGTACACCGCTTCATAAGATTAATTGGGCTGCATTTTGTTGGCGCACAACCTTTTTTCGTGGGTGTGCACGAAGAAGTTGCACCACTTTTAGAAAATACGTCGTGCCTACGAGGTGCAAGCCTGTTTGCAACATGAACTCACGCTTCACAAGATCACGAAAGCTAGCTCCGTGGAGCTTGCGGGCCTTGTCGTTTACCATTCACTTAGGTAAGAGGGATCTAGGTCAAAAAAGCACGCAGGACCTTGTGTGGTCCGTTGTCAATAGGTAAAAGGGGGGGGCTCCTCGTTGCCACCACAGAAATGATTACTCTAGAGGAGTTAAGGAGGGGCCCCTCCCCGCCCACGACAAGGTTCCGGCAACATTGAACAAGGCCCCCCCGCCCTACCTTTGGTCCCCCCCCTTCCACCATAAGGTCTCCTGCGCAACATAAGCAACATGGCGAAGTTGAGCTTTGTGTTGCATGGCCGAGTTGGCCTACGTGACGTCTGACCCTGAAGCAGGCAGCTAAGTTGCCATCAGGACAGATTACATTCGCATGATGGCGCAGTTCCCACTTCAGGGCCAAGAGCTGGAAGCATTGAAGCCGGCACACCTAACCTGCTACGTTCGAGACCAAACCCAGCAGGAAAGCTTAACGTCTGCTGAAGCAACATAAGCAACAGGGTAACTTGCGATTTGTGTTGCATGGCCGAGTCGGCCTGCGTCACGTCTGACCCTGAAGCAACTAGCTAAGTTGCCATCAGGACAGATTACATTCGCATGATGGCGCAGTTCCCACTTCAGGACCAAGAGCTGCAGCCGACAAGCGCGTGGAAGATATTGAAGCCTGCGCACCTAACCTGCTACGTTCGACACCAAGCCCATCAGGAAAGCTTCAGCAATCTAACTTAATTGCACAAATATCTGCAACATTGGAAGCAAACCTGCATGGATTGCATGAGTTCTTGTGCCGCGCTGTCCAGCTTCGCGCGGGCTGCGCGGCCTCCGTGAAAAAAGCTGCGGTCAGCTGCGTTGCAGCCCTCCCCTCTAGCTTTGTGACATTCTTCCTTGGCAAGGTCAGGAGATCGCCCGGGAATTAATTATATGATCATCTTTCGGTTTCGTTA